ATATTAAAACATTTATACAACATGAAATAATCATTATATAATAAAATCATTGATTTAATTTCTATAATCATTCAATCATCATTTTAGTTTCATTCAGTAATAATACATTCTTAACTTAGTATTTAAAATTTCTTTAAACATTGTTCTAGTATATTTTAAATAAAATTTTGTGTATTATTATAAGTTATTTTACATGATGTTTTAATAGTTTGTTCGTTTAAATATTTTACTCAACATATCTTTTATTGTTAAATAGTTATGAATTAATATTATTTATTGATTATTTTGAACAAATACTATTAAGAAATATTGAAACAAATGATTTTATTAAATAAAAGATGTTAAAATAAGATAATAATCAATATATATTTAAATTAACAATTAAATGAATAATTATTGTACTTGTTTAAACTAATTTAATTCAAACATTATTCTTCAGTAATTAACACTTGTATTAAATTATGAATATTTCTATTATCTTTCATTGCAATTAAAGCATTTGTTTTAACAATTCATTTAGTTCTAAATATTTTGTAAACAAATATTCTCCAACTTATTATTACTCAAATTCATTTATATTTATTTTCTCTTCTTCATTTTCACAACTCAAAAAATATTATATACATAATACTCATTGAACATTTTGAAAAGATTATTCTTTATTCAAAGTCATTTAAAACTAACATAAAATATTTGTTTGGTTAGTCCAATAAAACTTTTTATACTATAACTCTGTAATTGGCAATCTTCTATTTTTATCAACTACCATAAAATGCCTATGGAATAATGCATTACTAAAATTTGTATTGTATATCACATTACTTGTTAATGAGAAATACAATGTTTCTCAATCATTAATATTAAGTCAAAGCTGTGTTTATGTCTAAATTTATATAATATCAATAACATCTTTTCTATTTTATTTAGTTACTTCTAATTCATCAAATTGTCATTACAACAATGTATTACCAACAAGTTATTTAACAGTTTGATTATTATAGTTATTAGTTAATATGTTCATTTATAATACGAAACATTCAATGATGATTGAAATTGGTAAACAACATAATAGAATTATAATATAATATTATATATTCAAATGGAAAGAAATGATTATTGAAATTCAATAGAAGAATAACATATGAATATAATTATTATAAGATGGTGTCAGACAATAAATGTTTGTTGATGAATATACTATGGGTATGTTTTCAAAATTCCTGATTTAATAAGATATACTCTCATTTTCAAGAAGTGTTATTTCATTTAATTTATTGTTTAACAGTCACTCCATAAATCATACTAACAAACTATGCTCCAACTCCATAGTCTGATAATAAACTCAAACAAAATAATACAACAAAATATAAAATAATAACATGAATATTGTTTAATCCAATGATAAACTTTGATGACTCAATTAATAGAATATACCAAAAATTGAAGGATATTGTGGAACTATTAACAGATATTTCTGGGATTTAGTTTTGGGACAAAATAAATCCATTAAATCAAAAACACAATAACTGGGTATAACAAAAACATGAAATAAACTATTTTATGTCTAAGGTAGTTGATAATAACAATCTTAATAATAACCTTGAAATGCTATTCAATTAAGAAGAAATTTAACTACCCCAAAGATTAAGAAACCACATTCAAAGTTTGTGGTAGTTATTTATCCATTTTCATTCTTAAAGATGAAAAACAAACCAATGAAGAAACAACTTACTGAAACTAATACTACGTTATCTTTTTTACAAAACCATTTTGAAATGAGTAGAAGTCAAAAGATAACTGACAATAATGATGGTACACAGAATTAGTTTAAAAGGTTGAAAAACAAAACAAATGAGTAGAGTCTAATTCAAAAAAAATATTTCATATGAAAATCTAATGTCTAAAGAATTGGTTTTCATCTTATAAATTCCCTCAAATTAAAGTATTCGAATCATAGTATCAAATAAGAATGAATAAATTACTAGAAATGGCTAATTCCATTGATAAAAACAAGACTATGTTTGACAAAGAAGTTAAATTTTTTTGCAATTTAATTTCAGAGAGTGAAATAAGAAAAAGAATTAAAACATTAGTTCTTAACATTTTAATAGTTCTAAAAAAAGAACAAAGAAAAGTATGAGAAACGAGTTAGATAAACGTACTTTTGAATAAAAATAAAACAAAAAATGAAAAGAGAAAAAAGAGAAAAGAAAAAACAACAAAATCAATCAAATGAAGGAAAAGGTAATAGTAGTTTTTGTTCTTTTCTTTACTTATTGTTTGTGTAAATGTGGTGATGGGATTCGTCAAAGATTTGATGAAGAATGTGATGGAGGAAGTAATTGTAGAAAGGATTGTATGTGTGAAGATGGTTATTTTCCTGAAGATGAAACTTATTCAGTTGGATGTGTTCCATCTTGTTTAATTGGTGGATGTAAAACAGGGTGTTATACTCCCGATGAGTGTGGATATTGTGATGAGAAAGGATATCGTTCAGATTGTTTAGGATGTGCTGAAGGATATATTCCACAAGGGTATCTCAAGTGTGTAAAATTTAATGAAAGTACTGTAAAGTCATGTCAAGAATATACCCCACAATATAACTTTTCTATTACTATAAATGATGCAAGTCAAACACTTACATTAACTCCTGATAAACAAGAAATGTCAATAAATACATGTTCTAAAAGATTATCTATTCAACAACCATATGCACCAGGGTATTGGATTAAAGTCACAACAAAGAAAACACAGTACGTTGCAATAGAAACAGAAAAGCATTATGACTCTGTTTCTATTGAATTTATAGATACACAAGGAAATGCCTATGGAGAAGATACTGTTTTTGTTATTTCAAATTGTCCAACAATAAAAAAAATAACAGAAGGACAAGCACAAGAATGTATTGAAGATAATGATAATTTATCACAATTTGTTAAACTTAGTAGAATTGTATTACAACTAACAGAAAATATTCCCTATTATTTATTTGTTCATAAACCATTTGGAATACCTTTTACGGCTAATGTTCCTATTTTATTTACACCTATTGTTCATCCATGTTCTTATGCTTATTCAGTAGTTAATTGGCCAGAAGTTGCTACAAGTGGATTTACAACAGTGGTTAATACAGCACATGGAATAAAATCATCATCTGCATGTACTATTACGGAACAAATTGGATTATGGTATTTTTTACAAGGAGCTGATAGAAATGTATTAATTAGTACGTGTAATTCGATTTCAGATTATTATACTGCATTACATTTAATTAAAGTACCAGCAAACGGAAATGTTAAGCCAACCATTGACTGTAGTTATAATACTAAAAACCATCCAACAAATGCTGTTTGTGAAAGATATGATGTTAAAGGATGTCCTGAACCAGGAAGTCATCATGCGTCAATGATGGTAACATTGTCAAGTCAATACGACTATTTTATTTTTGCTAGTGTCATAACAGATAATAGTGCTGCTTTTAATTTAACCATTACAACATTATGTCCTTATAATTGTGGTGGAAATGGAGTTTGTGATAAAGTATCACAAACATGTATTTGTAATGATGGATATGTTTTAAAACAAGACAGTTGTTCATTATGTGGAAATGGAAAAAAAGATGAAGGAGAAGAATGTGAAAAAGTTGCAGGAGATAATTACACAGACCCAAATTGTGACTATTCTACATGTTCATGTGAAGATGGATATATTCCATTAACAATCAATGGAGTAACTTATTGTGCTGTTCCAACCTGTGGAAATGGACAAATCAATGATTATGAAGAATGTGATGGTGGAGAAGGTTGTCAACATTGTGTTTGTGTTGAGGGATATCGTCCATATGAAAATCCAAGAATTTATTGTTTAAGTAATAAATGTGGAAATAACATACTTGATAAAGGAGAAGAATGTGATGGTGGAGAAGGTTGTTATGAATGTGAATGTCAAGCTGGGTGGTTCGAAGCACACTCAGTAGGATGCCAAAGAGTACGACGATCGATTGTATCACTAATAATATTTGTAGGAGGAATTATTATATGGATAATCATTTGGCTCTTGTTACTTATTGGCTTTGTTTCAAGGTATATCTTCTTAAATAAACTTATTATTTCAGAACAACAAAAAGATGAAAGGATTTTGATTGAATCCACAGTAATCAAATTTAACAAAGATGGAGCTCAATATATTGATGTACATAAACCAAACGCATTATTTGCTTTTGAAAGTAGTGAAATTCTTTTCAGTGATTGCCAAAATCATGTTGAAGTAGATGAAGATACTAAAACAATTATCAGAGTAACAAATAAGAAAAATGAACCAATTCGATTCATTTTCCATGGTGGAGATTATTTAAAATATACAATCTCTTTTATTCCTGCAATATTAAGTGTACGCCCAGGAGAAACTGGTGAAGTAACGTGTGTTATAAATGTGAATTGCACATGTGTTTTAAGAGAAAAAGTACCTGTAACTATCAGGTATGGAAAATTTAAACAGATAATGCAAGAACTTCTTGAAGAAAATCCTCAGTTATTAGAGTTACAATCACAGTCTAGTCAAAATACAAGTGAATTTTCTGAACGAAGTTCAAAATCAAAAAGCTCTTCTCTCAGGAATAACTCTAGTTTGAATTTACATTCATTAAAAACAGATAACTCGAAAGACAAAGAAGATGGTTCAAAAGGAAATTCAGTAGAAAGAAAGAAGAAAC